AAAGCTCTATAAGATGTGGTGTAACTGAGGTTTAGACCAAACACCACCTTCATAGAATCTCTGATATGTTTTGGCACAATTCCATCGATTATGCCAACCCGTTCTACAAACAAAGCCCCAATGTACTTAGGTGTACAACGTCTACGATGAGCTGATCGGTCTAACACAGAACAAGTATGATCCTTCAGATACTTTGTCACCCAGAATGTGTTTGCTTCGCTCTTCACACCCGCTCTAAGCATCCAAACGCATCCTTTGATAGAACATTTTGCTACAAACAAAACCGTTGTAGACTTATATACTTTAAAAGCAAATCTCTTCATAACTGCCATCAATTACAACTCAGATACAAGCTTCTCCTTGCTAGGAAAACTCTGATTAACAAAGATTTTAGAGAACCAACTAGTATCCAGTCGATCGAAACCACCACATCGCTCTCTTACACCATCAAATTCATCCTCATCTTTAACTTTCCTGTACTCACTGTAATCCACATCTGAGTCATCATACTTTTCTTTCATATTCGGATCAACTTCAACTTCATTCGAACTATCAGCTTCATCCTCATTTTAACGTTTTCATCCCAATCTTTAGCGTTTTCATCCCAATCTTCTTCAGCATCAGAGCACATATCTGCATGTCCACCCACATCATCATTCACATGGTCTACTATCATACGTACATCATGCATCTTACTTAACTTAATCAAGCTCTGAACGTGTCTATCGTTTGTGACATACATAGGCGGAGAATCATGATGCATTTGTTGAAGCATCAGAGGTGGTAAGGGATAGGATAACTCCACCTTTGTTTCTTTTTCCAGCATATAATCCTCTTGCACCATTCCAAGAAGCTCACCATGTGTGCAACCATCTCTTAAGAACAACATTCGCCCTCCTTTGCTATTATCCACCTCAAACTGCTACATTGATTCACTCCTCACCCATTCTCCATAAACAGCGGGTATGTGAACCATTCTTTGTAAGAAAACAAAATCCAAACCACATTAGAAATCAAAATTGAATAAGTAGACTTCTCTGAAAGTCGGATGAAGTCTACTAAGTAAACTTCTTGGAGAAGTCTGCGATCAATAAGCTAAGTATCTTATAAAATGACACGTGAGAAGTCTACCTCTAAAAGTAGTCTTCTCCGAGAAGCCTACTATTCTTGGAGAAGTCTACTCTACAAAGTCAAAGGTTGGTCAATTGCAAAAATGACATGCCTCTAAAGAAGTCTACTCGAGAAGTCTGCGCTATTTTTTTGTTATCAAAAGAAATGGAGTAGACTTCATTCGGACCAAAAGAAGTCTACTTTTTTCATGTGGTCAATTGCAAAACTAACCTGGGCGTTGACTAGTAAACTTCACAGTGGTGAAGAGAAGTCTACTTTCGCAGCCCAGAACTGAAAAACACTAAAATCGACTGAAAATTTGACTTACCACTCGTCTTTAGCTTCTTTTCTGGTCGAGATCTTCGATTCTAGCCACCATGAAAGAAACACAATCGCAAAAAACTACCAAGTCGCCAGAATATAAAGATATTTTAAGATTAATGTTTTAGCTTTTTTCCTTTTCCAAATTAAAGTATCTATTTTTCGTAACTTTTGTTTTTTTTCTTCCAAATTGTATTTTTCTTTTAAAATTAGAGTTTTATAGTTATTTTCCTTTTCTAAAATAAAATAATTTTTTTTATTTATTTTTGTTTTATTTTTAATTTAATCGCAAGACATGTCAAAATTTGATCGATTGACTCGCCATGTGTCACAATCGTGAACATGTTAAAATCTGAATCGAAATGACTCACCACATATCAAAATCATGTGAATTACTAATTTTGATGCATCCAACTTTACATAATAAGATAGAATATTATTACATAGTATATACTATTTAATATAATGTCATTATGAGTGCACAACTTCAGACAAAAAGAGGGAGAGTGTAAGATCAGGATTTATCGTAACACGACTCGATGTGTGCTACACACAAGGAGCAGAAAAGGATTGACGGTCAAGCGTGAAGATCAAAGAATAGACCAAGTTGCCTTACTTGGAGTTTTCAAAGATATTAGTGAGTCGGTTACCTTGTGTACGGGTATGCCGATACGCAAGTATATATGGGGATATTGGAGATGGTGCTAAGGTTAGCTGTTCACAGAAAACACCAAAAGAGTGTATAAAGAGTGATCGGGATTCTTGGTGATTGAAACATAGCTGGTTCTGTGTTAGATAGAATAGAAATTAGCCAGTGTCAAGTTGTGTCAACTACTGATTAAACATATCTGTTAACATTATTGATCTACATTCAGTCTACTTGTTCTTGGTATATTTGATTTTACATAAGAGCTCTTTCAAAATCCAATTATGATTCCCATTTTACAGCATACTAGGTATATGTGCAGACATAAAAATTTTAATTAAATTAATTAATAATAATATATAATTTATAAGAAATAAGTGATTGATCTGTTCAATAATATATTTGTATAAAATTTAAGTTTGTAAAAAATAATTTAATAAGTTTGAGAAATCGTATATAGCAAAAAACAAAAAATATATAAAACTTAAAATACAAACCGTAAAATAAAATAAAATAATTCTTCTTTATTCTTTGTTTTCTATTTTTATTCATATTTTACATCTTTTATATTTTTTTATCTTATTTTGTCACATTTCGTCCCGTTTCTGGTTCGTAATTCTTGTTATATAATTGGAATACATTCATATATAATATAAACTTTAGTTCTTTATTTATAGTAGGACAACATAAGATGATAATAAAAGTGAATACATTCTTTTTCTAAAAATCTGATTCCGCAAATTTCTTAGAAACACTTAAGCTTGTAAATATTTTGCATAAGAGTTATTTGAAATAAGAATCCAAAAATCTCTAACAAAAAAAATGATTTCACAAATTTTCTGCCAAAAACATGAATAAGTAACTTTCGCACCAAAATAATTACATCAAAAATATGATCCAAAGACATTTTATTAAAATTTCAATTTTGTAAATTTCCCTCGAAATAGTGAACCCATAAAAAAAAATTCGCCAAAAAAATTACATTAAAAAATGATTCCAAAAACTACCAGTAAAATTTTGATTTCATAAATTTTCAGCCAAATAAGCGAAACCATAAATTTTTCGCCAAAAAACTTACTTAAAAATATAATTTCAAAAAACTTCCGTGAAAAACCGATTTCAGAAATTTCTGCAAAAACATGAAATTGTAATTTTTTCACCAAAACATTTATTTCAGAGTATTTTCATTTGATTTCGTGATTTTTTACCAAATATTGTGAATCCATTAATAAGCAAAAATAATGATATCAAAAATATTTTGGCTTTATAGGTTGCTACAATTTTTTTGCTAAATACTTGAAATCCGTAATTTCACTGATAAATTTTTTGTGTTGAAACGTGATTTTAAATCTTTTTGACAAAATTATAATCTTCCTAATTTTTTGTCAAAAATTTGAGTATTTAAACTACATTCATAAATTTTTAACATCAATTTTTATTTATAAATTAAATAATACCATGTCACAAGCCATGTGTACTAAAAACTGACATGTCACAATTACATCATCATTACACATCATCATTTTCATGTCACGTTAAAATTGTTTGAACTAAAGATATTAACCAATCAAATTAAAACAAATCATCAATTTTCATTAAACTACATTCTCAATTAATAGGTAGAGGATTAGACCATCTCTATCGAGTGTTTTTAAAAGAGTTTCTAAACATTAAAGTATTTAAAAAAATTAATTAGTATGACTGTATGAGAAAGATAGAAGCAATGTATGTTATATAGGAAGTTTAAGATACGTCTCTTAATCTTTTGATACACCTGTCACTTAATTATTTGTGTACTTTTTTTTAGAATGTAATTTAAATCTAATAATAAATGAAATAAAAATATCAATTTTATAATATTTATCGTGATATACATACTTTTTTTATTTAAATGTAGTAAAAAAGAAGAATGTTCAATAGAAAACAGAATTCAAAAGTCAAATTCTTATGAGCTGAAGTAGTTTTTTTCAATCAAAGTAACAAACCCTAATTTCGACCCAAGAACGTAGTTTATGAAATCAAACTAACAAACTCTAGGATTCCCAAAAGAACCAACAAAAACCTTTTATATGACGTAGTTCATCTGTATAATAACCACTACAAAAACCCTAGCCATATAAATATGATCGCAGTCTCCGTATCGGATCACATTCGACGACTTCGATCAGAGAGGACGAGTTTCTTTAACTGATACAGAAACTTACGAGCTGTTGATTCGTAACGATGTGTGTTTATAATGGATTTCGCCTTCTTCAACTTGTAGTTCTGCAGATAGATGCAACGACGTCGTTTATAGTCATCTTTTTGACTTATTAAAAAGTCGTAACTCAATTTCTCTGAAGTTACTTCTTCATCACGTATTGATTTCTTTGGGTGTCCTTCTTTATCCCAAACTTTTCCATAGATCCAGTTCTCGTTTTCCATCATCGATAAATAAGCTTTTCCTCTTCGATCTATCTTTGTAGTTTTTCCTGTAAAATTGTGGGCTTCGATAGTGGAAGGGTATTATAATATTTATATAGCCTTAAGTTTTTCCTTTTTCAAATAATGATTTAATAGGGTTTTTCTGTTTTGATTAAATCACAAATTGATTGGGCTACAGTTGTTTTTCCTTTTTCTTGTTCTTTTTTCGCTATTATCCAAATATATTTGCTTAACGAAGTTAGTTTTCCTTTTCTTTAATGGGCCAAAACATTTGCCTTTTGGAATCTCTTGAAAGTTTTTACACATTCATAATCTTTTATATTAACCTGTAGCCATCAGGCCCAAAATCATAAGACTCGTGGACATAGCCTAAATTTGCTGATTTAAAATTTTAGATAATCAAATAAATTTCGGATCTTAGACAATCTTCATACTTCTTCGTAAAAAATCATAATTTCTTTGAACAAAAACAAACATAGATACATAATTTCTTATGACTAGCAAAACGGTATTATCATCATTCATAGAATAGCAAAAACTTATTTTGCAATAAAAAAGAACTCAAATAAAAGGAACTTTTAAGTATGATAATGAGTATCAGTTATTACTTTTCATAAAAATAAAAAAACAAAAAATACCCTTTAAAATAAAGTAAATAAACAAGAGAATGCCACGTCATCCTAGTTAATACAAAACGCCCACACAGCCTTCAAAAACAACACCGTTGGGTCTTCTCAGGAGAGGGCTCTCTTTTACACACTGTTCTATCCTTTTATCTGTATCTATACTTTCTCTCTCTCTCTCTTTTTTTTTAATACAAAACAAATGAAATAATTAATAAACACTCTTTTTCCTTCCCCAAACCCTTTGAAAAAAATAAAATATAGAAGAGCCCTAACTTGAGCCCTAAGCAACTGAGATGCATCTGCGGTGACCCACTCGTGTTCTCATTTTCTGTCGTTTGGTCTCTTCTCTCCACACGTTTCCAATGTCTTGAGCGATGTTAACGGCATCTGCTGATGCTCCGGCCAATCCTTTCCTCGTGAATCCAGCCGCGTAAAGTCCCGATTTCCCTTTCCAGGCGTTTGGAAAAGGCGATTTCGGAAACCCATTTTTGGAAAACAAATCATTTTCCTGAAGAATCCACAAAAGAGAGAAAACAGATTCAGTTTACTTGTAACACAAGAAAACACACACGAATTGTCAAATTGATATTGATTTTGTTTCGGTTCTCACCTGAAGCCAAGAAGGGACATTGCTACGGTAACCAGTGGCGAGGACCACCGCGTCGAGATTTAATCTCTGTCCATCTATGAGCTCCACGTGGCTACGAGAGAACCGTTTGATTCCAGGGACGATTTCTACCTCGCCGGATTTGATTTTCTCCATTGCTCCGATGTCAAGAACTGGAGTCTTCCCTGTGACGACCTTAAGCTCCATTGGGCCCATCTTGGGCCTCTTTAGCCCATACTTTGTCAAATTTCCCAAGATCAGCCATGCGAGGATCAACAAAATCTTGTCTACTAGCCATAGAGGTAGCCACTTCATCAGCATCATTGAGATTTCGAAACTGGATTTGCCTAGAATCTCCCTCGGTAACACATGAACCTGATCAAATTTAAGATACCCAATAACCAAATTAGCTTAAAGCTCGAAACTTTATTAAAATAAATTGGAAAATGAACTCAAAGTTCGAATCTTTATTATTGAACTTCGATTGTTTAACTTACCGAGCTACGAACAACCATGGAGGGATTAGCATTGTGATTTGCGAGATCAAGCGAAACCTCCATGCCGGAGTTTCCACATCCGACGACAAGAACACTCTTTCCTCTGTATTTCTCGCCGGATTTATACTCACAAGAGTGGATCACTTCGCCGTCGAACTCCGTTGTGAGCCCATCGATATCCGGAACAACTCTCTCCGCGTTTTCTCCCGTCGCCACCACAAGCCACCGGCAGATATACTCCATCTCCGATCCAACGACAGCAGAGGAATTCGACGGTGTCGTTTTGAGGCGCCAGAGACCACTAGTCTCGTCGTACCGAGCGGATTGAACACACTCGTTGAACTGAGGGCTAATTTCGAAACGGTTTGCGTAAGACTCAAGGTAATCGATGAATTGTCGTTTTGTTGGGTATTCCGGGTAATCTTCCGGGAAGGGCATTTTGGGTAATTGACAAACTTTCTTGGGTAAATGAAGTTTGAGTCTGTCGTAAGTTCGTTTCTGCCACAGTGAAGCTATGCACTCTGCTCTCTCCAATACCACAAAGGGAACGCCTTCCTCGCGGAGGCAAGCGGCAGTCGCTAGCCCCGATGGCCCAGCTCCGATGATAACCGGACCGTTAACCCAAATGCACCGTCTTCGGTCGGAGAAATCATCACTTCCCATGAGTCTAAACATGTTCTCCATCTTTAGGGGTGAGTTTGATCAAATGGACACTATATGTAGTGAGAATCGGATAAAGTTTAGGTAGATTTTGGGGGTAAAGTGATCGACTGAATAGAATGGGTTGTGAAATTGAATATCTTTTTGTTTTGTTGATTGAGAAATGAGATGTTTTGGAATGTGTTTGGAGATAGAAGTGGCGTGGGTGGGTTTATATAATGGATGGACCACGAGGAAGCTGCATGTGATTTGCGCATTCTAAGGTTTATTTTTAATTAATTATAATAATTACAAAAGTTCTTCAATAAGTGTGGCTAAATAAAAATGTAATAGTTTATTTAGGTTTCCCATTTAATCATATGCTTTTGCTTAAAATGCGAAATAGTTTATATTATATAAGGCTTTTTTCTTAATTATGGAATCATTCGATTCTTTTCTTCAAAGTTGCTGATGGGACTTTGATTAGAGTATCTCATAACAATCCACAATCATATTCCCCGTTTAATTAGTATAAAATTAGTTGGTGATGATTAAAAATATAATTGCTTTATGATATAAATTGAGATGGTACTTATACTGATTACACGGCTTTGAATATTACTCAGAGATATAGTTTAAAATTTAATGATGTGAAAGGGTAATCAACTGGGCACAATGGACCAGTGATAATAATACATATCATCCAAATTCTTTTGATCACATATGGTCCTACCCCATGAGTTTGTAGATGGCTGTGGAGAATAAAACTGAAATGTGAAAACTACTTGTGATATAGAAATTAATTAGATGCATATATATATGTGTCAAAATAGTCGAACTAGGTTAAGTCCGGTTCAAATATCAAGTGTACAAGTATTTAAAGAGTTGGCTTGATTTATTTGAAACTGACTGATAGAATTTGACAGAATTTCGTCGGATAACACTATTTCTAATGGATTTCCGATGGTTTTGACCGTCCGACTTATAATGTATGTTGTATTTATAGAGTTTGATCTTGAGCTGAACCAGACGAAGCAATTGGCGGGATATACATGTTCAGGTCCATCAAGAATTGGCTTGGTGTGAGAGTGATTGCGTCGGTTATTCATAATTTGTGCCAAAACATTTAGTGTTCATTTGGTGTGAGAGTTAAGCAAAAGACATTTAGTGTTCATGAATTTTATACCGTAAGTATTCATTCCCTTTTTAGTGAAATTTCCTTTTATATTTAGTAGATAGATGCTTAGCACGTAGCAGTAATTACCCATGTACGTGTAACTGTTTTAGTCAAGAGTGACACATATCAAACAACAACTAATTAAACCTTTAAACTTGAAAAATAAAATGGTACGTCGATTTGTTCCATGGACTATGATCGTGATTCGTGACGATACATTATTTAACCATCGAACTGTAAACTGGTATCTTTTCCTTTGTCTTTGTTCTAAAATATAAATTCATAATCGTACTATAAAACACAAAAAAATCATAATCGTGTAGCTTTGGATTGGTGATTTCGTTTCGGATAAATAATCAGTGAGGTAACTTTTGTAACGATTTTGAGATAATAAATGCCGTGGCAACGCGTGGTAACAAGTATGCAACCACGAGGAATAGATGGTGAGCCCAGAGTGGGGACTTAATATGTGACCCACTTCAACTCGTCGTCTGCCGACTACCTAACCACGTAAAATCAAATTGCAATATTGTATAACTTATTTTGTAGCATTTTTGTCCTTTATGGTATTATTCGCTCTATATTGCTTTCTATGAATCTTCCGTTACACGTTAAGTTGAACTTCGAAATAGAAAAGTTGGAATTTTTCTTCCTATATTTCTCTAATTTATTGAACGTAGTGGATGTACAACGGGCGCTTTATGATTGTAACATTTATATGTTATTAAAGTTCATGAGTATTTCTTTAGCCACCAAAAAAATGGAGTTCATGAGTATTCGCAATACTATCGTTGACATATATAAGTCAGGTTTTAGGTTTATGTGATAAAGTTTCTTTTTTTAAAAAAAACTATATCAACCATTTCTATTACTAAAGTATATTTTAATATATATATATATAGTACTATGTAAGAAAGTTCACATTTATAAGTGGTTTAGAATAATTTCGCATATTAAATATATTTTTTAATATTGTATGAAATGCTAAAGTACAGAAATATAATAGTAAGTTTTAGTAATAGTCTAACATTTATTTTCAAAGTTATTGAAATAACGAACTAGTGTTGTCGATTGAAGATGAAACTATCAAACTTCAAATAGACAGAAAAACGTAGTTTTCACGAATAAAGATGGTTGGAATGTTATATATACATGGAAAGAGAACATCATTTTACCTTGTACGTAGATTAATTAATAATAAAATTTTAACATTGAAGAAAAAAAATATAATGTAAAAAAAACAAAAAAGTTTATGTTTGGAAGTTGATACAACATTCTACAAAATTTGATTCAAAGTACACTTTCAATTTTGAGCAAAATAAATAAATTATATATACACTTTCAATCTGCCATTTTAATTATCATATTATTAATTGAGAAGAAAATTAAGCTGTGGTTGAGAGTTACGACGATTGATTACCTTTTGCCCCTTATGTGAATTTACTTTAGTTACCCTTAATGAAATTAACAGATTTTATAATCTAATTTTTAATTGGTTTTTTGTTATTTTTAAAAATCTAGATTTTCAAATTCGAGTTTAAATTACAAAAATATTCAGTTTACTAAAAAAAGGTAACTAACATAAATCAAAAACAAATCCTAATTATTTCATTAATCTAATTTTAATTTGATTGTTTAACCTACTAATATTTTTGACTAACCTAATTGATTTATAGGACCGCAAGAAAACCATAAATCATTTAAACTCTTTTAAAACTCTATATATATTAATTAATATTAAGTTGATATGAAACGAAGATCCTTTGGTTTTGGTCATTTTGGATTGCTATGTTTTTTTTTACTTAAGCTTTGAATTTCATTAATTTTAATCTACCAATTTACATCAAAAGAAGAGAATTATTTATCATGTTTGATAAATACAAAAAAACAACAAAACATACATATAAGTTTTTATCAGATAATATAAAAGACATTAGAAAATAAGATATAAATAATATATTTTACTTTGTCACAAAAAAATAATATATTAATAAAAATTGTATTTTTTCAAATATATTAAGTTTGGTTTCGAATCATTATAAAATCTATTTTTTTATTTATAAATAAACTAATGTTATACTTTTAAAAAAAATTAATTTAAGCCTGCCCAAGATGCGGGGAAACACCTAGATGAATCTTGTGATTTGACTAACCTATTTGATTAATTAAACCCCGATAAAAATCTTGTGATTTGACTAACCTCTTTCATTTATACGGCCACAAGTAAAACCCTAAATTCTTTAAACCTTTTTGAAACTCTTTATATATTATACAAAGTTTTCAAAACAATCAAGAGATCAATCGATAGCCGTACGTCTCTCTCTACAGCTTTCTTTTTAGTTTTATAATTTTTTTTCAAGAAAACAGTCGTGGAAAATTTGAAGTTACGGTTTTATTGAGAGTTTTGTTTGATGCAACAAAATAACAAAGCATAAATTTTTACCGGATAATAAAAGATATTAAAAATAAGATATAGATAATATTTTATTTTATCACAATAAATATACTCATGAAAATTATATTTTCTTAAATATATTAATTTTGATTTTGAATAATTATAAAATATAATTTTTTCACCTATAAATAAACTAATATTATTAATTTTTAAAAAATTTAATCGAATCCGCACTTGTGCGGGGAAACACCTAGTTTATTGTGAAGTCGTAGAGAAAAAACATAATGGGATATTCTCGTTCTCGGATTGATGACCAAATTTCCTTAAGTTTCTAAGGAATTTTTGGATGGACTCGCAAATAATCTTAAGAACTCATTCATATATAGAAAAATTTCAATTTTTTTTCATTTTATCACGTAGTTAGGGTTGTTTTGCAAAACCTCTCTTTCGAAAAACGTGACTTATGGTAGAGGATGGAGTGTAAGAAATAGATCGTGAGAAGAGTGAAGTGGGAATATTTTTTACACGATTGTAGAATAACGAATAGAAGAGAGAAGAATATTTATTTCAATATGCGTATTTTCCACGGAATGATAAGTATTTCTTTTGGTTATGCTGATTTGGAGATTCGAGGTGAGTTTCACTGGGGCGTGAGTTGAAGGTTTTCTCCTCTTCCTTTAGATGTTTTAATGGTGTGTGTGGACCTTCATCGGATCATCTCAGGTTACGAATCCGGTTTTGTATTGTTATCTCCGACTTATTCCTTGTGTTCGATCTCTCATTTTTCCTTTGGCTTTCGATCTCCTTTTATACATTCTCTCACTCGTCTTGTCCCATCCATGCGGTGTGTCGCAGGAGCAGATGGTTTGGTTTAGCACGTCTGACTAGTTAAGCACGCCACATACCCGAGAACAGTCCGTTAGGGAGTCGGTAGCAGGCTGGAGAAAGTCAGTTCTCTGGTGGGACCCAGTGTCCACATGTTATCTCTATATTGGTTGTGGTAAAATTGGACCCAACAATTGCTCCCGATTTCTTGACTGATTGGAAATTAGTCGGGGAGTCGATCTTTCCATCAACCATCTAAAACAAGCATTTGATATGCGAAGGTTTTGGCCGGTTCGAAACCGTGTTAGAACAGGTCGTTCAACTTTGCTGCATATCCCGAGGGAATACGGATCCAATCAAAACGAAGCTGGATTTCCGGAGAAACGATAAGTAAGACCCACCCGACCTTGCCGCGTATCCCGAGGGAGTACCGGTCTGGTCAAAGTGAAGCTGGATTTACGGAGAAACAGTGAATTTCTGGAGAAATGGTTAGGTTCCCAGAAGAACTGTTAGATTGGGTACTATCTTGGCTGGGGTGTGCATCCTGGAAGAGTACAGACTTGCCTGGAATAGGAGGATGTTAGTGTTCCCAGAAGAACTATTAGTCGCCCACAGATAACATCTCCCCGGAGGAAGTTTACTACTTGCTTATTGAGCACTAGCCAAGGAGTCGTCTTCCTTCCCTATTCGTTTTATGAGGAATTTAGAGCTCTATGTGACCATGGAGATCGACATTAGACAACGATGCAGTTTTTGGACACTTACCCAAGAGCCATTTGATGGCGCTTTGAGGGGGTAG